AGAGAGAGAGAGACTGAGCATGAATGGGGAGGGGCAAAAAGAGAGGGAGACACAGAATCTGAAGCAAGATCCAGGCTCTGAGCCGTCAGCACAGAGGCTGACTCAGGAGTCGAACTCACGAATCATGAGATCATGACCTGAGCCGAAGTCAGACGCATAACTGACTGAGCCACCCAGGTGCTCCTGGACGGACCTTCCGTGACTCTGAGTCCCCGGGGCAGCTCTGGAGGCAGAGCACCAGGTCAGCCTTGGGGCTGAACTCTCAGGACTCACCTTCCTTTGCTGGAAGGGACTCCTTGGACTGCAGCTCCAGCTTTTCAGACTCTGCCGTTTTCTTCTCTTCCTCCCTGGCGTCGTTCCCAGAGCACAGGCTATGGACACAGAAGCCCCCAGCCCAACCCCAGGACTGAGAGCTGAGCCTGAGATTCAGGCTGCAGGGACTCCCAAATTTCACTGCACAGGCCACAGCCCAGACCAGTCACAGCAGAATGTCTGGGCACAGGAGCCAGGCTTCCGTAACTTTTTTACATGTTTATTTTTTATTCATTTTTGAGAGAGAGCGCGAGTGGGGCAGGGGCAGACGGGGAGGGAGACAAAGGATCCTCAGCAGGCTCCCAGATGACAGCAGAGCCCAACACGGGGCTCGAACTCACGAACCGTGAGATCATGACCTGAGCTGAAATCAAAAGTCGCTTAACCGACAGAGCCACTTAAAGACGCTTAACCGACAGAGCCACCCAGGCGCCCCAGGCTTCCTTTATCAAACCATATCATTGTCATTATCATTATCAAACCATAATATGATTCTATTATGCAGCAAAGTTTGGGAACCACTGGAAGTGTGGGCAAAGCGGGCGAGGCCTGGGTTCAAATCCCAGTTCTGCCTCCTCCCAGCTATGGAAACTTGGCTCAGACTTAGCCCCCCCTGAGCCTCATTTTTCTCACTTGGAAAGCGGAGATAAGGATATCTATCTGAGAGGATTATCATTCAGTGAAATCAGAGGGCACAAGGGGAGTGGCAAATAGTAAATGAGCACCAATGAATGCCCACCCCCCCCCACTACCTGTGGTGCTAACTGGAAAAATGGTCACATTTCTGCACCTGCTCTGTTTTCTAACCTTTGCAATGGGACTTTACGGCTCTGTTTCCGCAGCCCCTGTACCGGGGCTGGCCTCGTGACCTGCTTCCACCGAGGGAATGCAACAGAAGTGATATTGGGCCAATTCCAAGAAACCCTGTGCACGTCTGCACGGGTTTCTTGGAACCCCGGAACCAGCCTAATGGAGGATGAGAGCCACGTGACCCAGACATCTTTGTCACCTTGAATGACTGCCGGACAAACCCCATATGAGGGAGGCCATCTTCACTAGCCAGCCCCCAGCTAGCCCACCAGATGACCGGAGGCATAAGTGAGCCTGTCAACACCATCCAGGCCTGTCTCTGATTAGTAGAACTAGCCAGCGACCCAAAGACTCATGAAAAATAAGAAATGCTTAATGTTACTGAGTTTTGGAATGGTTTGTTACACAGCAATAGCTAGCTGATACCCCCCCAGTCTAGTCCTCCTGTCCTGTGACAGGAGGTCACATCTGTCCCACCCCTGGCTTCCTGCCGCAGGTCAGGTGAAAGGTTCTGGCCCACGATCACCAGATCACAGTCCTTACCCGTAGCTGTAGTTCGAGGGCACTGGATAGGGGATGTGCCCTCGGGGCATCAGGAGGAAAGTACGCCCAACATGCCAGGCACTGAAGACGGAAAGGAAGATGAAGGAGGCCTTGAGGCTGATGCCTTGTTCATAAAGGAGCTGCAGAAGGAGAAGGGGAAAAGTCAGCGTAACACCCATATTCGTGGCAATCTTAGTTATAACATCCAAAAGGTCGAAGCAAACCATTTGCAGAGAAGTAGGTAAACGAACTGTGGCACATACGTACAACGGGACCTTATTCACCCTTAAAGAGGAGGGAGGTTCTGACACGCGCTACAACATGGGTGAACTTGAGAACGCTCTCCTACGTGAAATAAGCCAGACATAAAGGATAAATACTGCATGATTCCACGTGCATGAGATACCTAGAGCAGTTCAATGCACAGAAACAGAAAACAGAAGGGCGGTGGCCTGGGGCTGGGGCAGGAGGGGGGACAGGAAGTCATTGTTTGGCGGGTACAGAGTTTCTGTTTTACAAAGTTGAAAGGAGTCCTGGAGAGGGACGGTGGTCACGGTTGCACAACAGTGTGAACGACCTCAATGCCACTAAACTGCACACTTAAAAATAGTAAAGATGGTAAATTTTATGTGATGTGTATTTTAGCCCACAAAAAAAGTCAGTGTAAGAAGCACGGGCTGGAGCCCCAGCCTGTCACCGGCTCTTGCCTTCCACCCTGAATGCTGATCAAAGACGCCTGACCCACACACAGGCTCAGCCTCACCCCATGGCTCAACCAGCAGGGGAGCCACCACGTCACCCGTCACCACGGCCTTGTAGAGTCTCCTAAGGTGGCTTCTCAGAGACCTGCCAGCCTCCTGCTTTTTTATCTCATTTAACAGCAGCCAGGTCCTTTCTCTCAAACAAAACTTTACACAAAATTCAACTTATGAAACACATCGGCGGGAAGAACCCAGTCATCCTCCCCCTCGTTCTCCTTTGGTGACCGACATACTATCAAAGAGAACCCCTCAGTGTTCCTCAACACCCAGTTTGAAAACCGTTGATGTAGCCCAATGTCTTCCTTTCACAGGGGGTGGAAGTGAGGTCCAGAGAGGTGCAATGAACTGCTCTAGGTCAGAGGAAGCGGCAGCAAGGTCAGATCAAATGGAGAACCCAGCTCCTGCTCTGTCATTCTCTCTCCTTCCACCTCTAAGGAGGGAAGAGAGAAAGGAAGGCACACCCAGGGGAAGGAGGGAGAACCAGGAAAGTGACTCTTATACCAGGGGGAGAGAGGCCTGGGTAAGTGCCCCTGGGGCTCAGTCTCTGGGTGCCCCTCCAAGCCAAGGCGCTCATGGGACTAAGCTAGTCTCATGTCTAGTAGTGACTCCCAGAGCTCCTCTTCTCTTTCCCGATGGCCCATGGGCTGTGCCAGCTGCCTCTGGCCTAACACAAAGCCTGGAGGGAAGTCCCAGGTTAGGCAGCTTCGAGTGTCAAAGACCCACACTCTTTCATTCCTTCCACTCAGTCATCCTTAGTGTCCTCCAGCTGGTTGCCTCATAATCACAGTATAGCTGCCACAGCTCCAGCTATCACATCCTGCCATCACAACATTCAAAGAGAAAAAGTGGGAAGGGGGGCCAAGGAGAAAGGCTTTCTGTCTGCTCCGCTCTCACCTTCCATCAGGGAGGGGAAATGTCCCCTAAACTCCTCCAGGACATACACCCTTCATCTCATTAACAAGGACTGGATAATATGACCACCTCTACCCATCACCAGCAAGGGGGACAGGGATTGCCACAATTGGCTTAGATCAATGAGGGTTCATCCTCTGGGTTGGCACCTCACTGCCCAGGTAGAATTGTTAGTAAGGAAGAAGGTGGAGTGGCTGCTGGGTGAGCCACTGATAACACTGGGAACGGCCCCTCCCCTACCCCCGAGCCCCCAAATCAGCCGGTAGGAGAGCTAGAGAGGCCTCTGTGTCTGCCCCGCTGCTCCCACCAGCTACCTCTCACCTTTTTTGTCCAAATCAGAAGCTCACAGGTGCAAACACCCCACTCCAAAGGGCTCCCAGCCTCGGCCTAGCACCAGCCGGGGCACATCATAGCCTCTCCCCAAAACTCCTAGGTAGGCATAAAGAGCCTAATCACTACCAGGTGAGGCTCTAGCAGCAGACAGGTCTGGGCTCAAGTTCAAGAGTCACATTTACTGGCTGCAGGAGGGTCGAAGGAAAGAAATCATGCAAAGTTCACAAGACATGTGCCTGGCACGTGTAAGTGTTCCGTAAATGTTGCTAACGGATATTTTTTACCTTAATGATGAGGAAGACAGCCGAGGAGGAGTCAAATGCTCCATTGTAGAGGGTGATGATGGTCGAGCGGTGTTTACCAAATAGGTTCCCAACCTAGAGAACACATGAATCACGCATTTGTCCGTGAAACAGTATTTCCTGTGCACCCAGCATGCACCAGGCCCTTACTCTACCCAGACCCATCTCCATCCCAGGAGCCTCTGCCCTGGCTTGAGCCAACCCCACAGGAGGTAGCCAATGCGGAAAAGCGCTTGTCCCTCCCTCCACCCTCCCCAACCTCCCGCCAGGTGCCTGGCATTAGGGCAGGCTCACACCTGCAGGTTGGTGATCAGGAACAAGATTCCTCCGACAGTGAGCATGGGCATGGCCAGGAAGAGCAGGAAGGCCGAGTCTGGAACAGTCAAAGACAGAGGTGGGGGTCATGTCACAGTGCAACCCAAACATGGGGCCCCAGACTCTGGCTCCCACCTGCTCCAAATTCCCAACAATCCTGGGGTCAGGGCCCCAATGCCAGCCAGCCTCCTAGCATCCTCTGAGAATCTTAAGATAGTGGTCAGGGCTCCCCCAAATGTCCCTGCAGAGGGACCCTGTGGAGGTCTCCTGAGCCACTTCTTCCCCACAGAAGGTGGTCCTCGGTCTGTAGCAGACCTGCATGCCTACAGGCAGAGGCAAGACTCAAAACGAAGCCACTGTTCCGTTCCCTCATTAAGCCACAACAGCCCCTCTCTTTATGGTTGATATTGCCGGGGAGAGAAGCCTGGATTCGGCCCCCAAGGCCAGCCTCTAACTTACTGCATGACTTTGAGCTGGATTCCGAATCTGTGACTCAGTCACCTTATCTGTTAAATGGGAATAACCGTCTTTGCTCTTCCTATCTTACGGGGTGCTGTGAAATCTGAGCATGAAATGGCCATGGACTGTGTTTTCCTGGTTCATTAAACTTGGAGCACTTGGCCAGCACAACCAAGACACCAGGAAAGAGCACTTCCCCCTACAAGTCTTCGCAAGGCGTCTCTCTCCAGCCTCAGTTTTCTCCTCTACACAGTGGGAGAAGAGGAGAATGAACCCGACTGAAATTCCCAGACCGTGGAAATTTTCTATGTCCGTAAACCAGTAAAATTTGAAACAAAAACTTTTAACTACGATAGGGTTGTTGACTTTTGCCCTACTAAGTAAGGGTATTTTCAAAAAGAACCATCTTCCATACTATCCTTTTGTTTTAAAAAGAGAACACATGAGCCTGGGTGGCTCAGTCGGTTAAGTGTCCGACTTCAGCTCAGGTCGTGATCTCAAGGTCTGTGAGTTCGAGCCCCTCATCAGGCTCTGGGCTGACAGCTCAGAGCCTGGAGCCCGCTTCGGATTCTGTGTCTCCCTCTCCCTCTGCCCCTCCCCCACCTGCACTCTGTGTCTCTATCTCAAAAGTAAATAAACATTTAAAAAAATAATAAAATAAAAAGAGAACACATTAACACGGACAAGATGAAGGACGGAATCTTTCAAATAAATTCTTCTCTCTGAAGCAATCCCTCCATTGTCCTTATTTTTTTGCATTCTCAGTAGACTAGACTGGTTTCATAGACTGGCAATCACTCCCTCAAAGGTTCTTTCAAGCTCAAAGTCTGTGGATCTCTGATAATTGTGGGGGTCAGTGTTTCCTACCCATCAGCTTCCCATCTACCAAGTGCCCCTGACCTTGTGTCCCTCCCACCCATCTGGTAGCACTCACCTGCAGAGATGAAGGCTATGGTGAGGGTGGCACTGGTATAGAGAAATCTGAAACATACAATGGGAGATGGAAAATGATGTCAAGAAAAGACAGAGAAGATAGAGCCAAGGTCCTCCCACTTGGGGTCCCAACAGCCAATCCCTTGGAGAAAGGGATTAGGGCCTGGTCTACAAAGCAAAACTTTGAGTTCTAATTCCTCCTTGCTGTGTGATCTTGGGTAAGGCACTGCCCTTCTCTGGGCCTCTGGAGCCTTTTCTATATGAGGAAATGAATGGACTCTTCTAGAAATTCTAGGTCACTGTGATTTCAGGACCCACAATCCCAAGGTTATGGGGATCTCTTAGCAGTTTGGGGGTCTTGCAAGGCATGGGGTAAGAGAAGCCATGCCTAAGTGTGATGTTTTGATTTACAATAGGAAATGCACATTTGGTCCTTGTCCCCAGTGCCTGACACAGGGCTCCTAAAACACCTGTAAATTCTTCAGGGATAAGAGCATGAAGAGCATCTTTGTTCTAATCAGGTGACTCTGGGTCGGCTCCTGGATGGCTGCGGGTGGGGGGCTGGTCACCAGAAAGACCAAGCCAGAATTAGAAACTTGGTATTTTTAGCCCTGCCCCCCACTTCTGCAAAAGGTGGAAAGGGTCTGGAAATGATGAATAGGGCTGGAAATGATTAATAATTGATCAAGCCTACGTGAGGAGACCTTCTGGGCTGGTATAGACAACCACAGGCTGAGGGGATGTCACAGCCCAGACTTCACCAGAACAAAAGTTCCTGTGCTCAGGACTGTCCCAGACCTCACCCTACATATCTATTCATCTGGCTGTTTATCTGTATCCTTTATCATGTCCTTTAATAAACTGGTAAACATAAGTAAATGTTTCCTTGGGTTCTGCGAGCTATTCTAGAAAGTAATCCAGTCCAAGGGAAAGGCAGTCATGGGAACGTCTGATTTGTAGCCAAGTGAGACCAAAGTTGCGGGTGAGTTGGGGACCTACCACCTGTGATCGGCATCTGAAGTTGGGGGGCAGACTCATGGGACCCAGCCCTTAAACTGGGGGATCTGAGGCTCCAGGTAGATGGTGTCAGAGCTGAGTTACATAGTAGGACACCCAGCTGGTGTCACAGAATTGCATGGTTTGGGAAACCCCACACACGTGTGGTGACCGGACGTGTCAGGAGGGCAGTGTTCTGTTGAAAGTCAAGGAGCAATGCAGGAGGCGATATGCAAGATTTTCCAAACAGTTGGTGTCAGTGAAGCGGGAGTTGCTAGAACGGCCCAGGCTCAAAGAAACATGTGCGTCCAGAAAGAGAAAGGACGAAAGCATGGGGGATGAAGAGCCCCTGGCTCCTGGGTTGTGGAGAAGTGGCTGCAGTATAATCAGTCACTAAAAGGAAAAGTTACCAACCGAATTCAGAAATGGAGCCAACTCCTGGGGAGCGGGTTCACCAAAGTGCAAAGTAATAAGCAAAAGCTGAAACGTACAAGCTCTTGGTTACCGGGATCCGTGATAGCAAAGACGAAATTAAAAGAGTGCCGGCTCAGATCCTCATGCTAGACCGAGGTCAGATTTGGGGCACTCTGAGCTTCGGCCATTAGCCTCCAAGTCACCCCCAAGGGAAAAATTATGCAGGAGCAACAGAAAGTTCCTCTAAGACCTCTGGTCCCCAAGAAGGTAGTCCGTGTGGGAGGAGGCAAAGCCACGGACCTGGATGGTGGCGGGGAGGAGTGGCATGGTGCAAAGGAGTGGCTACATTTTGTGGGTGGGTACCCTCAGCTTCCTGGGGATCCTTTACTGAAATGGGCTGGGTCAGTGACTGACCTGGGGGCTGTGTCCTGGGTTTTGTTTGCAGCAGACTGGAAGTGCACGGGTCTGGGTTGATGCAGGACCCAGGAGCTTGTTATGGAACAATCCACACACACAGGAGGTTATTCCTGAGGGCACAGCCAGCCCGGTGGACTGGATAGAAACCACTGTAAGGTGGTGTCCCCCTACAAATGGAACAGTCCAGATGGGGCAGCTGATCCCCTTTGTGTGCAAGCTGTGGGGGAGTGGCTTGATGGTGACCTGTGCCCAGATCTCAGAGGTAAATGCTGTGGTGAAGGGGGTCCCTTTCACGTGGGCACCCCATAAAAACCTATTGCTACAAAAGGACAAAAAACAGTTTGGAAAGGCTTATTGAATCGCTGGCTCAGCTTCCCCTCCTGGGTCTTATAGATGCTAATAAATATATCAGGTCAACTAACAGAAGAATGGGGCAAGGGAGAGGGGAGGATCAAGAGACTGGTCTTAGAAGAGTAGAAATTTTGTAACAGTTATTAAGGAATAAGGTGAGGAAAGCAAATCCCGATGGGGGTGGAACAGAGAGGAAACAGAGGAGAGTCATGAGGTCATCCGGAGGGTGGAAATCTTCAGAGGGTTATAGAGATGTGCAATAAAGGAAATGGACATTTGATAAGGTTAAAAGGTGTTAATACAACACTGCCTAAGGCGGGGGGCGGGGAGCCAAAGGGACCCCTGATGGCTCCCAGCATTAAAGTGCCTGCACACAAGTCCGTTCTATTCATCCCCATTTACAAAAATGTTAAAAGCCAGAAGACAGGGGCACCTGGGTGGCTCAGTCGGTTAAGCGTCCAACTTTGGCTCAGGTCACGATCTCACAGTTCGTGGGTTCCAGCCCCGTGTCAGGGTCTGTGCTGACAGCTCAGAGCCTGGAGCCTGCTTCAGATTCTGTGTCTCCCTCTCTCTCTCTGCCCCTCCTCTGCTCTCTCTCTCTCTCTCTCTCTCTGTCTCTCTCAAAAATAAACATTAAGGGGCATAAAAACACTATGAAAGTTGGGCTGTTTAAACAAGCGTTCTGTAAAGAAGTTGTGTCTACCTCACCTGATGTCTTATGAGAATGCATACTCTGCCTGGCCGGGAACCCTTCCCCTATCTGATGTGGGAAAGCAGCTGCAGACAAAGTCCTAAGGAGGCTCCGGGTAGGAAGAGAAGGGTTGATGGAAGAAAGGGTAAACGTTCATAGGAGACCCAGCACGTTGGGACAGGCTTTGTGAGAATGCTGGCCTCTCCTTTACCTGAACTGTATTATGGGGGTGGCCGCTGTGTGTGTCCAGGCAGGGACACGTCTAGCCCTGTAGACGGGAAGGCGTGTGAATCTGCCCTTCGTGTTAACAGAGCATGTTAAATGGGAGCCAGTGAGACTGCCTGAGCCCAGACGGTGTGGAATAGGAGGTGGAGTACTGGTAGAAGACAAATGCTCTGTGCCATGACCTTATGGGGAGCATAAACTGGGACTCATGGCAAAAGTCTGCGGTTACCTCCCAGCGACAATGACTGGCATCTCGGACGAGGGAATTTCCGTTTGAGGGGCATCTATTGTCTTGCTCTCAGACATTAACTGAATCCACACAGATAACTGAAGTACATCAAATGATCTTAAAACAGGAAATACCCACAATGTCTACCATGATGTCGGAGAAATGCTCTAATGGGGACAGCAATGCCCAGAAGAATTCCATACTAAAAATAGCAATGGTTAAACAGGATCGTGTTGCCTGGGGACGGCACGGAGGAGACACCACGGACAGGGAGCCTCTTTTCCCCTAAGGCGGACTCTGGAACCATGTGGGGAACAGATGGAGTCTACCGTCCCCTTGGACGGTGCCCTCTAAAGAACTCTCGATTAACCAACAAAGAGCGACTTGGCTGTGTTCCAAGATGAATGGACAGCATCCTATTTGGAAGGCCCGCACTCTGATCCAAAAAGGTACAGACAGATCAGCTCAGGGGGCTCAATGAACTGCACGCTGCTGTCCTAGCAGAGAGGAAAGACATCTACAATGGAAAAGGCCCCGACCTTCGGGTTCTTACTGACCCAGTGGCCTGGCCATAGGGTCATGTAGGAGGACACTGGAAACCTGGCCATACAGGGCACAGCCCTATGGAAATCCCTACGGCATCGGAGGGGTGCACTAAGAGAACAGGCTTTATGTGAAGGGGTTGTCTCTCTTTCACCTGTCTTTTTTTTTTTTTTTTAATGTTTTTATTTATTTTTGAGACAGCAGAGCATGAATGGGGGAGGGGCAGAGAGAAAGGGAGACACAGAATCAGAAGTAGGCTCCAGGCTCTGAGCCATCAGCCCAGAGCCCGACGCGGGGCTTGAACTCACGGACCATGAGATTGTGACCTGAGCTGAAGTCAGACGCTTAACCGACTGCGCCACCCAGGCGCCCCTCACCCGACTGTCTTAAGGGGGGTGGACGCTACGTCTGAACGGGGACCGTTTCCCCTAGCTAGCACGGTGGCTAGGGGAGTTCTCCCTCCCTCACACAGTGGCCACAGGGCCAGGACTGCCACGACAGGGGCTGGAAGCAGGGATGATTCCTAAGCAAGAAACTGTGTTTTTCACCGTCATGTTAGAATTCCTAAGGGCCTTGTGGGGCAGACCTGCTGTCCCTCTATCTGCCAAATTTGGGACTGACGGTGAATGCCACCACACCGCCTGGTGGGAAAGACAGCCCGCTGGTTCTGTCCCTGTGTAACCTTGCCCCGTCTGAAAGGGGGTGGGGTGAGAGGGAGGCACTGGCTGGACGGGTGCTTCTGCCTGTGATCCAGATCCGCACGGTGGTCAAACCGAACACCCCTTCCAAAGGTGGAAGTGTTAGGGTATGGACGGAGAAAGGGAAAGGTAGCCGGTAAGGGCATGAATAAGCGGGCTCTGTGACGAGGCAAATCCAGTGTTACACGAACGCTTCCAAAGCGGCTCAGGGCAAGAGGGCATGTTGCCTTAGCTCAACACCAGACGCCTGAAGGGTAAAGGTACATAATGCCGAGACCACGCCTGCTTTTGGAACCTGACAAGATCAAATGGAAGCCTGTGCATAAGTGGCCCTGGGAGACACTTTCAGATGCTACAACGAGGGCCTGGGTAGTTATTCATGACTGAATGTGTTTCAGATAATGTGCCGGTATCTTTTGACCTTTATGATCGTTTCTGCTACAAGGGACCCACGTTCAAAGACCAGGAGTGCACTGTGGCATTGTGGTTTATCATAAGAAATACATTATTTGGTCTTTGTCCCGGATCCCTGACACAGGGCTCCTAAAACCCTTGTAAATTTGATGACAAGGGCACTAGGAACATTTTTTCTTCCAATGGGGTGACTCCAGGAGGCTCCCGCACAGCTCCTAAATGGGCACTGGTCACTGGAAAGACTAAGCCATGACTGGAAGTTTGGGAGTCTTCAGCTGCCCTCACTCTACTTCTCTAGAGAGGGGAGGGGGCCTGGAAACGGTTAATACTCAATCAAGCCTACATGAAGAAACCTCCATAAAATCCCGATAGGATGGGGCTCAGAGTGCTTCCGAACCTGTATCTTTCATCTGTATCCTTTATCTGATCCTTTAATAAACTGCTAGAACATAAGTGTTTCCCTGAGTCCTGTGCACTGTTCTAGCAAATAATCCAGCCCAGGAGGGAGAAGGTCACGGGAACCTCCGATTTGGGGCCAAGTCGGACCAAAGCTGGGGGTAACCTGAGGGGCCTGCTCCTTGCAATCGGCATGTGAAATGGGGGGCAGTCTTGTGGGACCCGGCCCTGAACCTGCAGGATCTGACGCTTTCTCCAGGTGGATAGCGTCAGAGCCAGCCTAAATGGTAGGACACCAGCTGACGTCACAGAATTGCTTCGTGTGGGGGAAAAACCCCACATACTTGGTGACCTGATGTGTCCGAAGTAAGTGTTCTATGTGAAAGCAAAAGGGAAATACAGGAAGGACAGAGTTTTTCCGAACATCCGAAGGCCAGAGGGGAGGGAGGGGACAAAGGAAAGGGTGGGAAGGAGACAGGGAGCCAAGGACCAAGACAGACTGAGATAAAGTCTTTCTATAGACAAAGTCTTAAAGAGCAGGAACTGGCTTTATCAGGCAGCCCTGCAGTCCCTCCATCTGATGGCTCATTTCCCATGGGTGTGCCAGGAGGCACCTGCTCTGGGTCCTATCAAGGCCTCAGCAGGCCACTGCTTATCGCTGAAGCTGGCCAGCTGCAGTGCCACCCTGTACGGGCGAGGCGAGGTCCCTTACCCTCCGTGAAACCCCCACAGTCTCCCCTCCAATCAGGGGGTCGGGCACTCCCACCACTGGGGATACCCAGGAGACCTTACTAAGTGTCTGGGGAGTGACAGGGGTAGATGGTGAGGAGGATGACAATGAAGCCTGGGGGACCTGGATGTGAGGTCTTGTTGGACATGTAGACAAGGATCCCTGGGGTGAAGGCAGAGTGACCATTTTAGGTTCCGTAATGTTAACCCAGGCACCAGGCCAGCCCTCACCGGAAGTGGGCCCAGGCTCCTGCTCAACTTGAATTTACATTCACATGGAACGGAGGAAGAACAGGGCAGAGGAAAGGGAAGTAGGGTGCAGGAAAGAGGGTGGATCCACACAGAGTCCACATCCTGGGCTATTTCTGACAGCTGCCAGGACGGGGCCGGGCAGCGTGACCCAATTGCCTGACCGGGTCCCCCTCCAAGCGAGGCCGCTCCCGGAAGAATTCCTCTTGCCTATGTCTGCCCAGGCCGGGCCTTTGGCACTTACATGGCTATGAGGCGAGCCACGGTGGTCTTGAACCTGTCAAAGATGTAGCCGGCAGGGAATGTCATGAAGTTGTTCATGAAGGACCCCAGGGTGAAGATAAGTGAGAACCTCTCATCCTGGGCTTTGCAGTCTGGAGGAGAGAAAGGGGAGATCTCAGGTAGTTGACATGTGACAGCCCCTAATTACCCCTTGGGGGCTGGTACTTCCCTCCCCAGGTACCTCTTAGACCAAGGTCGGGGAGTTGGTGGGGAGGCGCACACTCCTTTCCGCTCAGCACAGAGAGGCTGGCGGTGTGGGCAGGGGGTGGGGTCCCTCCTGCCCCTTCCTACTGCCTGGAAACCAGACTCTGCCTCCCTAAGGACGTCCCTTACCAGGCTGCACCGTGAAGTTGCCCGTGGCCCCGGCATCTGGTTCACACAGCTCGTCAAAGTAATGCTCTGTTTTGAAGACGTACACCAGTGATGCCCAGCCGAAGAGGACGCCTGCAAAGCCGAGGCATTCCAGCAGCCCTGTCAGCAGGGTGGCCACTCGGAGACACAGACCCTGGCCTTGCATGGCCTGAGCTGAAGCCGGTCCCCAAATCTCACGGGGGGCCTCCCGCGCTGACCACAGGAGCTTCGAGGGCTGGCCTTCTGAGCACTTGGAAAATTCCTCT